ATACATTATATTCAAATCATAACTAGAAGAAAACTTTGCAAGTAACAAAAAAATGTGCACGATTATTAACATGAATATAAGAAAAAAGAAAAAATATGGTGACGAATGTGACAGCTGATCGTGAAAGTAAGGACGGAGAAGATACAATTTGGAAAATTAATATAAAAGTAAAAAAAAAACCTAAGCGAGCAAAATAAAGAAGCTCGAATAGGTAGCATCAAGATGTTGTAGGCCAAATATCAATTCAAATAAAGTGATTTAATATAGGCAAATTCTCCACATAAATACGCCGTAAATTCAATCGCCATATAACTATAAAAAATGACTTTAGAAAAAGGCATACGTTACAATATTATCCGTTTCCATAATTGTTCTTTTTAAATATTTTTTCAAAATATTTTCATTGAGTAAAACAATCTCTGGGTTAAGTTAAAGTGTTCCAATAAAATACACAAAATGTCCTAATTTTAATCAATTGCTATCATCATCATCATCAGCCCTTTTACGTCCCCACTGCAGGGGCTCAGGCCTTCCTTATGGATGGTTAAGGAGAATGGGCCATGACCCTCCACGCTGGCCCAATGCGTATTGGAGGGTTTTAACGACTGCAAATGCAGCCGGGACCAACGGCTTAACGTGCCTTCCGAAGCACGGAGTAGCTCAAGATAATAATTTTTTGGTCACCCATCCTGTGACCGACCCTTGCGAAATTTGCTTAACGATAACAATCGCGGACCGCGGCGCTTATCCACTACGCCACCGAGCTAGAATTGCTATCAACCTGATCATTAAAAAAAAAACAGAAACGAAAAAACTGTTTAAATACAGTTTTAAATGTTATCAACTTTAAATTCTCAATTCAACATTCATTTTTCGTAAATTTTCGCAAATAGTAACAGTAGTAAGTTAATTAAATCGTAGCTGCAGTACAGCGTTATAATTCTCCTTCAACAACTGGTGTAGTCAATTCCACTCCTTCGGAAGCTCATAAAAAGCACATTTTAACGGTTTGTGGAAAAATCTTTTTGGCAATTTTCAACACCGGACCCTTCTCTTTAAATGATTCATGCGCGTGAAATTATTATGAATCTGGGTTGAGTGAGCTATTTTCGTCAGGATGTTATTTAAAAGTGTATAGCTTAATGGGAAAATTATTTGTCAAAATCATCCAATATGGTAAAATAAAATGTCTATTGTAAAAACAATTCCATGACGCTATAGTATTAATATATGCAGGAATGCAAATTCTCAGTTACGACAAAGTGTTCGATCTGTGAATACATGATTTGACTAGAAGACTTTTCTTTATCATAAAGTAGTTATTGGTTTAACCACGGCAAGTTTTAGTGTAAAAGGTGTGAAAAAAATCCAGAACATCTAATTGCAAGAAAAATGGTATAACTTTTCGCCAGTAATATAAATTTTATTTGTATATTTATCTCGCGTAGTTCAAGTTATAGTGGACGATTAAAGGTAACTTTATAAAAATGCAGCACGCGTTGATGTCTTCTTGAAACCCATCCCTTCCTCTCATTACTATATATGTATTATATTTATTTCGTTCTAACAAAGACACGTGTAACACTAGTATCGCTACTGCATGCTTTTTCTAGGTATGATCGATATCGATATTTCCATACGTAACTATTACAGGACAAAATTTGTACTCCATGCACAACTAATTTGTGTGTACACAAAAGTATTCAGAGGTTAATAACCAATATTAATTAATATACCTACACTCCTTCATTACCTATGTTAACTAGTTTAAGATATTTCGGATCATAAGTATTTCAAATTTTCTTTAAAAAATTTAATACTTGTTCATTATTTGTAAATAACGAAGTCCAAAGTTTTAACTTCTGCTTTTTTCGGAAAAACTCCATTATTTTTTAGAAATTTTACTTCATATTTTTATATGAGCGCAGTGGCGCAACACTTTCATTTTTGTGTATGTTTTCTGTCTCAGTGCATTTTATCATAGCTTTAAATTAGAAAATGTAACAGGTAAATCAGTGTTACAAGAAGTACAAAAACGGCGATTTTTGGGGAACAAGATTGAATATCTAAAATGTAATGTTGTTCTCCCATTTTTTATTACAACTTATTTAAACGTATTTCTTTGTATAAATCAAATTTTAAAATAAAATGTATAAAAGTTAGTGAATTATCGACATGCCTTTAACACATTATGATATGGTCCCATCACTACGTAATACGTGCTTTTGTACTAGCCAATAGCGTCACCGCAGTTACCTCGTCAACCAGCTACCCCCCATCGCTAAGATTGGCATCTTACCCTTTTCTTAACAAAATTGTCATCATGCGGTATTATTGAAAGTTCTCTATAAGCAGCATGACTGTATTATCGAAACTGTAAGATTGTAATGTTTCAAAATCCAAGAAAAGCGATTTACCTAGTTAAAAGTCACCGTCAGATTTAATAAATAACAAATAATGATTTGGATGCTCCTCCCTTTACGAAATGGGTCACTGAAATCATTAAGTAGAATGTTTCCCTTCATTTTTATTTCTATATTTTTGTAGAGGATTTTAAGTGATTTTTATGAAGAATTAAAATTTAAAGGACTGAAAATATATGTGATAAAAAAGAAAGGAAAGAGATAACGGGATTGATTTGGATACTATGATTGATGTTGTAAAAGTTCGGGAGCCTGTTTATTTAGGACGTAAGTCTACAAATGAAGGTCTCCAGAAATCGCTATGAGACATAAAAAATAAAGATGGCGCTTTAGTTTGGCTTAAATATGTATAGTGTGATGGATGATTATTTGATCGTAAAAATTCTATAAGATTTTTGGACGACCGAAGCGCAAAAATCAATGTGAAATTTCAAGTAAAAGTGGTCAAACCAGCTCAAAACTTGTTGCGTCGGTAATGTGCGCGGAAAAATAGGTAATAATTCAGAAACATATGTTATTAGACAACTAATTAACATGATCGCTGACGAGGAAGAGGAAGATATATATAAATATGGACATAATTGTGTTTCTCACAAACGTGCCTGCACAATAAAAAATATATGTAATTATCATTATGTGGTAAACGGTATTGATGTTTAATTTTCTTATATCAATGTCAATCGTATCACTGTTATTTACCCCCAACAATAAAAATAGATAAAAAAAAGGAGATACCTTACATCATAGTATGAAATGATTTTAGACTGACTAGCTTTTTGATATCTGAGTAATAAATGGATGTATAATACTGATATGAGATAAATGAGTGAATTCGTAACTATGTTTACGAAAATAGACATGGTAAAACTGATACTACTTTGATAGGACACATTGTCCCTGGTACTTCGAGATGGCATTCCAAAGCACGAACTTTCGCACCGAGCGACTGCTCTAGTCACTGAGCACTCTTCATCAAAAATATTTTTCAGTCTAGCATTCACCAGCCCTTTTACGCTCCCACTGCAGGGGCTCAGGCCTTCCTTAAGGATGGTTAAGGAGGATGGGCCATGACCCTCCACGCTGGCCCAATGCGGATTGGAGGGTATTAACGACTGCAAATGCAGCCGGGACCAACGGCTTAACGTGCCTTCCGAAGCACGGAGTAGCTCGAGATAATAATTTTTTGGTCACCCATCCCGTAACCGACCCTTGCGAAAGTTGCTTAACGACTACGATCGTGGGCCGCGGCGCTTATCCACTACGCCACCGAGCTACCTAGTCTAGCATTGTCAATGTAAAATTAATCCAATATAATAATCAGAACAAAATTCCATCTTTACTTAATGATTTAAAAATTTGTAAAAATATTTCTTTAGGCTGTTTTGGTGTATTGCCTGAACATTAATAAAAATACGCTCTGTAATCGCGAAAAAGTAAAAAGTGATTGAAAAATTCGCCAGTCCTGTTAAGTCCTGGGTAGCTGAGTGATTAGAGATTTTAAAAATATTTTTCAATAAGAATACTGTTTACTTGTTAAGTAAATATAGCTGTTGTATGTACATGACGGTACGAAAAGTGAAGAATTTTATCTAAACAACTATCCATTGTTGAAACTGTATTCATAATGTTTAAATGGAATCGGTTAAGTTATTAAGATAAAACTCTGACGTGGTTCACTTAAACCGTCATTGTTGTTAGAAATGTGAAGTAAAGTTACTTAAAAATCTATTAAAGATAATTGATTTCTGACCTATATTTATTTAGGTAACTACTTAATTATTTTGAGTACAAAACATTCTTCATTTGCTGTATGTGTTAAGTTTTGAGGTCTACCAAACTACGCGTTTAGATATGGTTTCATTGTTTGATAGGAATTTTGTTGAATCAATGAATCTAATAGATATACTTAACTTCGTAAAAAACTTTAGCGAAATCTTATACATTACATTACATATTTTCTTGTCACGCAAAAAGAAAAATCATTATAACTTTTTTGTGTTTGTCTTCAAAAATTTGAAGGTACCAAAACAAATCTCATCTTTCCCTGTGAGATACGCAGTGATGAATTACGCATACCGCATGAATAATGCTTCTTGCAGTACATGTTCGTAGTAGTTTATCTATACTAATAATAATAATATAACCAGTTTATATTATTGCTTGTGGAAACCAGTTCTCAATTAGCAGCACCGCAGACAAACGTACTACTCAGATATGACAAGACAACACACATCAATTCACTTTCAAAGTTCAACATTTCTTGAAAAACACAGTATTTTAAAGATGAAAACGAATCTACCGGTTTGGTACAACGAAGCTTTTACGAAACTCCTGACCTTTACAATAATTATTACGTATTAACTCTCCGCCGAGTCTGTCTGTCTGCGGATATTCATATACAGTTTTCACTGATACACGGAGTAATTAAAAATTTAGGTGTAGAATTCAATAAGAATTTATATAACTTCGCTAAAGTAATTATTTAATATCATCGTAATAATTAGCCGAAAAAAAGATAATGTCAGAACGGATTTACTATATGAGGAGATTCTATAATAGCATAATTGATGTGTCATTTCATACCTTGTCTCTGTGGGAGTGGCGGTGGTGTATAACAGGCGGTGGATGCTGCGGCGGCTCGGGGACTTGATTCTGCCCGGTGACAACCACCGGCAGACCGTCCACTATGGTCACCATCACTCGCTTATCCGCGCTGCGTCTCCTCTCGACGGTATTCCGCCTGCGTCTCTGCTCATCGGTCACAGGACGAGCGAACACGGTCCTCCGTTCGAAATTCCTCGGATCGCCCTGGTTCTCTTCGGCTCTGGTGGCCGGCGTGTGACTCTTAGATCGTTTGAGCAACCTCATCACGTGCGATTTCAACGCATCAGGCTTGCTGACAGGAGGCGGTAGCTCCTGCTTGTGTTTGTAAGATTGAGAATGAGCGTGGTGACGCTGCACGGAGACCGTATGCCCCATCCCTGGTGGTACGACGTTAGACAAGCTCTTGACTGCGTATGCAGCATCAACTTTGTTGCCGGCCACGCACGACACTTCGTACATTCCGACGCCGCGACAACGCGTCTTCGCTTCCTCTAAGCGTAGAGTTGTCGATCAAAACAACTTTACCACCTAAATGATCACCATTTCTGTTGTACGACACTGCAATCCTTTCGAGTTCGATTTCACACTTCCCGAACAACTAGCATTGTCGCGAGCACGCTACGCGGAATTGGTAAACACACTTAGGAACTGGCCGTTTACTGCGTTGGATACCGCACGTGATTGGCGCAACAGTGGTCGGGCCGGTTGCGTGTTGGAAATACTGTTCTAAACGTAATCGGAGCTCATATCACTGACATTGATACGCAATTAGGTATATCGGATAGTGATTTGAACGAATACGAGGTATAGTAGTACGGCGCGTGTGTACAGCGCGACGTCTCGCGAGATACTGAGCCGAGAGCCGTCTGCGTTTACACAACATTAGCGAACGATTCCGTTTCGAGGTACGTCCGTGCCTCTTGTGTCTGTGATAAGGACGTGCGCGTACATAACTCGGAGGGCGAGGCACAACACATAATCCGAAAGGTCAATGTTTCAATGAAGTCATCGCGAGCAATTGATGTAATTAAATGAACATTTCGGGACGTATTCAGTTCAGCGTTGTCATGTTCAATGGATTCATCTCTTAACTTTGAGCCAGCGCATTAAACATGTTTTAGTTTTTTTTGCATAGTCTTATACGTAAAATCCAATGGTTATAATATGAAGACGTAAAACTAGTCTTGCGTTCGAAACGCAACGTGGACAAGTGTATTGAGTTACACATTTAAATATGAAGAATAATATTTTTTCATTTGGAGGAAAATAACATTTACATCATCGCGGTATTCGTATCAAGAATTAATTAACTTCACATTTCTAACGACTACAGTGAATTAGTTTTATTTAAACAAGAATTTAAACGAAAATAAAACTTATGCAACAAAACATTAATAGCTTTAGATAACACAAATATAAATACTACACGTAAGTAATCGAGAAGACGTTTATAAATACACAACACATAAGTAGGATTAATAATTTGAATTATAACATATGCATGATAACAATGTGTATGTAATAGCAAACTGCTAGATATTGGACCTCCATTGTCCACCTTTAGATGATAAAAACTGATTTAACCAATTAGGTGGTTTGTCTGTGATACACAATTCCCATAAATTGACGATTCTATACTCTTATAAAAACGTTTTATGATCCAAGTTTCAACATAATAAAAGTCTATAGTTAAGTATCACACAGGTTTTATATATAGTGTGAGAGATATATAATGGTTTATATAAAAAACTGTACGAAATATAAAAACAGTAGCAACAAAGCCAAAAATAAATGTAGATACAACAGATAACAATATTAATCTAATGTAAAGGTTTACTATTAAATTATTACACTTACAATTTATTAAAATGATGATAAGGAACGTGGTACTGACTAACAAAATTCAACGAAATAATATAAATAAAAAAAATAACGGAAAAAAATGTCACAGCTTCAGAATAGATAATAGAGGTATACATTGACTAAGTACTTACTTTCAAAGACAATAATGAGATACGACAGTATTGTTAAATTTTATGCGAAATAATTAACAGTATTTTCAAACTTAATGTTTAAATAATAAGGACGAAGATCATGTTGCCACGTCACGGTACCTTTGAGGGCACAAAGGAATAACGGGAGGATTCCTCGTTTTGTATTAAAGGGTTATGGAATCCCAGCGAACAAAGGGATAAGTTTCTGAGGTTTCGTCGACATAATATTTTAAGATATATAAATATATAGAGAAAACATTAAAATTCGGAAAATAGGAGCTATAAGAATAAACACTCCTGAATGGATAGAAAATATTGGACTGTACAAAAGAGCTTTCAAATGAGCATATTTCAATAAAGAATATTTGGATTTGAATAGAGCTATCATAATAAAAAAAATTCTGTAGAGAATATGGACGTCCTACTTTTCCGCCTACTGTATTAAACAAAAAAGAAAAATTAAATAGATGAATATATAACTTAAGCTATTGGTTTACTATTGTTATTCGAAAATCTTGGCATCATTATGGAAGTTATTAACAAGTTATAACTTTTGCCATTAATAGATTTATTCAAAAATGGTTTCTATAATAAACACAAGAAAACCAATGACGCAAATCCACTAATCATCTACACTATTAAGAGTGCCATAGATCAACTTCAACAACAATGACGTTATTGTTACTCTGTAAGCACTACTGTTACAAGACCAAGTGGTTATTTAACACAGCGGTGTTGATAAATATAAAGGAAACAGGGTTACAAAACTTCGCATATTACACAGATGCCTAATATAATAAAATAACTTAGTAGGTCAATCTGGAAAAAATAATAGCAAATACAGAAGAGAGAGACGAGTTTATAAAGTATGCTTAAGCAAAGAGAAACAAAGATTAAATAAATTGATATATATACAGCATAATAATCTGTGTTATTAGTATAAGTAAGTAACCTGTAATAGACAATAACAAATAACCTAGAATATACATAAAAAAATTGTAAACTAAATAAGTAAAAAATATAAATGTAATCAGAAAAAGTGTAAATATAAGAGAAAATAAGAATAAGTATAAAAGAGGGGAAAAGAGCTATCTCCAAGACAACAGACCAACCAGGTCTGTATAAAGAAAATATAAACAAGCATAAAAACTAAAAAGAAATAAAAAATAGCCTGCCCAACAATGGGGGAACCTGCTTAAAAAATATATATATATAATAAAATGATAAAGAAACTTATTTAATTCCAAAAGCGTGAAACCTTAACAATGGATAAATAACATGACGTGGATCAATAAATTAATCAAGAAAGAGTGCACGAAGGCTCTGTACAATAAGCGATATTTTAATAACCGTAATACTTATCATAACAACAGCAAAGCTATAATCGATTGACGATGTCTAAGAGGTGAAAGGAGGTGCTGATAGGCTATCAATGGGCACGGAAACCGGTGGAGGTTAGTACAAACGGGCCGCGGTTATGAGTCATCGAGTACGCGATGCCAATACGCAAACTGCATAGCAGTATGACCGATATGCAGAGAGAGAGCCGGTGAAAGTGTTATTCGGACAGGGCGCAAACTATGCGATTACAAATACGTAAAAGCGTAATAAAGTAGGTATACGTAACAAACGCCAAATAAAATATTTTATTCGGATCAATATAATTAAATTACCACAACGTGCCGAAAACGTAACAACATTAGTCATATAAATAGAACATTAAAATATGAAAAATAGGATAATTGCACAACCGGTCCTTTTTAATTAGTGATAAATAAAACAAAATTAACAAGTAGCTCTTAATTTAAACATTTCCTGTTACATATAACAAACAAGTAACTCTAGATTACGGATTTTGTTGACGAATTTATTAAGAGATTTAACAAAGTGGACATAATTGAAATTGTTAGCTAATGAACAAAACAATTTCAAAATTAAGGGATCTATTGATTTTCAATTTGACAAAATTTTACCGAAATCATTCCAGTTCTCAGAATTATCTAAATAAATATTTATGTTCAAAATCATGACGGAGGGAACAGAATACGAAAACATATAAATGTTATTTGGACTCATATAACCGACACTTAACTTTATGTATTTTGGAATGTATCTACAAACCGATTCAATCAATAGAAATCATACAATTAATAATAGTTACTCTGGATACCCAAATAACAGTTAGAAATAAGGTTGAATACACAAATTAAAAACTGCCGCGTGACGTGACCAGAAAACGCCATTCAGTTATCCCCAAGATCATCCAAGAATGTTTTTATCTGCAAATTATTCAAAACGGTGGTATTCAGAAAATCAGGTTATATTTACTTTGAATCCATCCCTTCTTAAAATTGTAGGTGCTTTGAGGTTAACGAGCATTTCATAATATTTTTTTAGAAACGTGACTTCATTTACTTAATTAATAAAAAAATAAGAAAAATAAATCAAACATAGGAATAATTTTAATATTTATCACTGACATTTATAAGTCCATTTCTAGCCACTGTTATGAAATTTTCCAATTAATCTGATGTAGATTTATCAATGTCAATTTCCAGAAAGAGAATTAAACTTATTCTAAAGTCATTTGAAATTAGAATTGGATCTTCGTATCAATGTCACACAGCGAATGGACGTGGTCGTTTCCCCTAAATATCCCCCTCTAGTCCACGTTAAACATTGACTATCTTCAACAAAAGCTGTGCCATAATACTCAGTGTTTGTATTCACGTTTCTCCCTCTACTATACTTTACGTCAAACATCAATAGAGGAGCGTTCAAATATTCTACCTGTTCATGTATAAGTCATGCCAGTTACACAAAGGCAACTCGCAATTAGACTTGAAAAAGTAACAATTATTTATCGATTGTAATAGCTATAGGAATAATAGGACCTAACGTTAAAGCTGGATTCAATAATGCCAAAATTCAAATTGAATATGCCAAATACTTTGAGATACAAAAAAAATCATAACTAGAAAATGTTCTAACAAGAAATGGAGCCAGCTAAACGGAGCACAGAAGGGGAGTAAGTTTCCACCCTATTGTGTCCACATCAATTCAAGGTCTGAGGTACGCTCCGACAAACGGTGCGGCTAGATAACGAATACTGACAACACTTTCCGATATACATCACATCACAAGTGTGCCCGTTTTGGGACTGTCGACTCTAAGTGATTGTCGTCCACTGTAGCTGATAACAGATTTCAACTACGACTGTCAAGGTGAAATGTGCCGTTTACTTCAGAATTTAGTTGGTACTATTCAGAAACTTTCAAAGTTATAGATAGCTACTACTATAATGAATTTTAAATATAACTGGTAAAGCAATCGATCAAAAATAATCTTATTTTGTAACACTAATACAATGTAATAAAAAGGCGTCAACGAGGTTAGAATGTGGTAAACCAAACAATGAATGTCTTCCAAAAGGTAATACAAACGGCTTAAATGGAAAAACAAGGT